TTTTATTAAATGCATTATTTTTCTATATATTTAACTTAATTATAACATATTAGTCCTATTTTGTATACAGTGCGCCAGCAAGTATCTGTAGTATTGTAAGTGCGCTCAGACTGTATAAAGTTTGAGAACCACTGATTTATAGTAACATGAGTACATGCATTAAAACAGTTAAAAGAGTGGATATAAAGGTCATAGTATGTGTACATTTCAGTTTATTATAGGTGTAATAATAAGATTACCTTGCTGCTTTGCCAGTTCTCCTGAATGATGAGTAAAATTAATTCAAGTAAAAATATGTAATAATCATGTGTTCTTGCTGTTATGTAAATAATATTCTGTTATTAATTAAACCCTAACTTTCCCTTATAAATGACTTGTATAAACTTGATAAATATTACACATCATGAACTAAATCTTATTCACACGATAAGAGTTGTTGTTCATGCAGCTGGATGATGTAGTATCTCAACCACTTCTTTGTTTTTCATATTCCAGCTGGCCTGATGAACACTTGTATTAGGCATTGAATGTAGCAGATATAGTGTAATTGATATATTGTTACATATTCTTCTTTGCTTTCACTTATTTGTTCACAGAAAAATAAAGCTGGAATAATGAAATTAGGAAAGGTATTATAACATTAGTTACCATGTTGCTTTGTGTATGTAAACTTTAAACAGAAACATATACTTTTCTTATATTGTATATACTTTTTGTATACATTGTAGGCTGTAATAATTATTCAAACAAATTTGTTCTGAAGTTTTCCAGGTATAAACTATTGCTGTTTTTATTGGCTATAAATTTAGTATGTATTCTGTAAAACTCAAGATTAAATTATCTTACAACATAAAAATATGTTCTGCAGAGTAAGCAAAAGTTTAGCCTAATATATTCAAACTATAGTTTTGTACTAGATACAAAAAAGTATATTTATCTGTTTGAAAAAACCCAAACTAAAGCATGTAACATGTTAAAATACATTTTATATGTATAACCAGTGGCTAGACTTTAAAATGCAATTTGTAGAGTATGAAAAATTTAGCCTAATGTATAGCCTAATGTATTCAAACTATAGTTTTGTACTAGATACAAAAAAGTGTATTTATCTGTTTGAAAAAACCCAAACTAAAGCATGTAACATGTTAAAATACATTTTATATGTATAACCAGTGGCTAGACCTTAAAATGCAATTTGTAGAGTATGAAAAATTTAGCCTAATGTATTCAAACTATAGTTTTGTACTGGGTACAGGCAAGTAATTATTTATTCTAAAAAAAACAACCAAGTAATGTAATATACTTAAGTACATTGTATATGTGTAACCAATGGATACACCCTAAATATACACCTCATTAGTTTCTTCATAAAATGATGACCTGTATATTCATAGCAGTTGGGATTTTGAATTTTTCTATTCTACACAAAAAGTACTCGGTATTTCAACTTTTGTTGTCTAGAGATTCAACGTGACCTCACAAATCTTCTGCATATACTTAACTTCCAAAAAGGTGTTCACGGCCAATTAATTCATTTTTGGTTGTTATGACTTCCATGTAATGCACTTTTTAAACTATATTAAATGTTGAATAGAAGTGGCAAGATTAAATTTTACACAAGATTGTTAGCAGTAAAAAGACGGTTGTAAATCACCCAACTGTTATGTATAAGTTGTAAATTAATAGTAAAATGATCCCTGTTCATAAGATTTGTTTTATCTTTTGTACACAAGTACTAAAAATTTTGTAAAGGTGGGATTCATATTACTTTAAAACAATGCAATAGTGTCAAACCTGTGTAGTATTTTAGAACAAGAAAAGAAGGTACTATTTATTGTAAGGCACATATGTTGTTTTATTCTGACACTGAAATAAGCAACTGTTATAAGCATAACAAAACATTTATTGATGAAAAACACAAATCAACAAATTGGCTTATTTTTCATCAATAAATATTATATAATGTTATAATTTGACATAATTAATGAGAAAACAAGAGCATGTTTTTTTTTTTTCTCACAATTTTCATATGATTCAGATTTGTAGCGTTTACTTGTTTCATAGTTTTCTCTGCATTTCTAAGTGATAAATCTAGCTATTAGATATGTAGAATAATTTTACAAAGTGCAAGCATAAATATTAGCTTGTGCGCTAGAATATCAATTATTCATTATTCGGCCGCAGGCTTTCTGTCATAGATGATAGCCCCTGTAAAGAATTTAGCTTTGTAGATGTAAATCTAATGTACTATTGTTGTATATTTGTAGATTAAATATTAATTATTTATATGTAACTGTTCCAATATTAATATTGTATAAGAATCTAAAAAAAAAGTGAAAAGATAAATGTACAGCATTTCTACAATTGGCAGCGAGTAAGCTTGTTTGATTTTCAGTTGTAAAATAAAACGAGCTAACAAGGGATATGGTTGAAGAACAAAAGCTAATACAAGGTTCAACATTTTGTTGATGCTGGCACCGACATTATTGAGTTTTAGTGCTTGTTTTGTTTTTTTAACCACATTCCATGTTAGATATTTTGTTTTATATTGAGATATCTTCACTTTTTATCAATTATTTTCAAATTATTTCAGCAAGTTCTTAGTCCACATGGTTAATGTTACATGTTTATTATAAAATAAAGGAAAATGAAAGATGGAAGTGTTATTTACATTTACTACATTCATGTGTTAATATTTTTTGAATCATTGAGTTTGATCTTTATACACATACCTCTATATTAGATACTTGTTATTATTACTGAATATTTTTCACCATTCTTGACTTCTGTCTAAAATTTAATTATTCTCTCTCTCCCAAATTTCAGGATGCAGAGAATGAAGATTTATACTTTTGGCACAACTAGTTGATTAATATTTGACTGCGATCTAAATGTTTTTGTGTTATTTTTTTCTATTTATCGCTTGTTTTATTTAGTTAATGTGCGTGTACATATATATATATATATATATTTACATGTTCTGTCCTTTAAAATACTAACAAATCATTAAAACATGTTAGTTACAATGTAGAAATAAAAATTTGTTCTTTTTATTACCTTTAATAATGCTAAACTAAGAACTGGTGACTTTTGTCTTTACATGGACTTGTCTTTGTTCAAAGAGAGAAAACAGATGGGTTTTCATAAGTTTAATTTTTAGCTGTTAGAAACTTGCATGTTTATTTCATTTTAAAAGAAACAATATAATATTATCTAAAGATTGTGCTTGACATGTAAAGTTACTCAAAACCAAGAATTATAATGTAAGCTTGACTGAATTATAGCTAAGCTACATATTCTCGTATTATCCAGTTTCTTTAAAAAATCAGTACAGTAATACAGTTGCATTGCTCTGATAATATAGATATACAAAAAGTGATTGATTGATTAATAAGCACATTAAACATTAGTTATATTCACTAAAGATACATATAGTAGTGTACATTATATATATATAGGTTCATGTACATTAACCTTTATTGTTGCTTTAATAACGGCTATGATTTGCTGTTTCACAAGTAGTTTCAAAATAAACTTCTATATCTAATTGTGCTATATTCACAACCACTGCTTCATACTGTGTATATGTATGTGTGTATATATCTACACACATACATATATATATATATATATATATTTCTACAGTATAGTTTATTGTATACTAAGCTTACACATAGAGCAAATATGTAATATATATTCTACATATATCCATAGACTTCCTTGTAATCCTGAACTAGTATTAACACAAGGATTTCAGAGCTTTGTTACTGTTAATTTACAGTACGTTTTTTTTTAAAAAAGTGACATTTTACTTCAAACAAAAAGCTAAGTGTTTTTAATTACAGCTCTCATACATGGATGATTATTATTGGTTTAATAACGTGTCATACAAACCAGTTTATTTTTGTGGGACTACATTGAATAATGGCATACACACACATGCGAGCACGTGCTCAATATTACGCAATGAATGATTCTGGTTTCTATCACTAATCTTACCAAGAGTATTTTATGTATTGATACTTGTACAGTATAAGTGTGCTATGTGTGCTATAATATCTAAATACCTTATGAGGGTCAAATCTGGGCAAGGGCACAACTTTTTCTCTCTTTTTAGTTCTGGGGGGGTCAAATGAAAGGTTTAAAAAGTAAATTTTTTCAAAAAGTACTTTGCTTCCTGTTTTTTTTGTGTGTGAAATTTTTATTAATTATAAATAAAAATTGATTTTGATACCAAGTAATTCTACTTCGTCGTTTGTCGCATCCCGACTTAAAAGTGATGATAGGTATGGGTTCACCTCAATTCCAAATGTTGCAATGGATACATGGTGGATCCTGCAATAAAGGGATAACAAATAAACTGAAAGTTTTAGAAACTCGTGATACAAATTGTTTTGTTTTGGCAAAGGTAAACCATTTAAATTCTTTATGCTGGGAGAGAGTATGCTTTTGTGGAAAAAAAACAAACCTACCCAGGTTATTTTAGAGATCTTTGGAGGGTTTCTTCATAAAAAAAATTAAAAAAAAAGATGAGAAATCTCATCATCAAGTTTTCAAGTTATGAATTGAGTTCAAAATGCACCAATAATAATTTAAGAATTTGGGGGTGAATGAGAATGATTGATACTTAGAAAAAAGCATTTTCACACAAAAAAAAAAAATGTTGAATTGCCTGGGAAAAAATAACAAACAAACCTGGATTTGACCCTGATATAATTTTAAAATGATTGATTTTGAAAGATCTTAGTGATTACTACATAATTTAATGGAATACCTTACTTTCCAAAACTTACAGCAGTATAAGTTATGCACAAACTTTTTGTTTGAATATTTACATGAATCAACACTGTTTGTTATTTTGTGGGATTTTCAAAATACGTATGTAAAAAAATTCCTATAACTTTTTATTCGTCATCATAATTAAAATTTAGGGGTGTTTCCAGCCACACACCAAGACCTATCAAATGACAGTTTATGTGGACATACGACTAATTCACTAAAATAATTGAGTTATCATAAGTTGGCTCTCAATTTATTAGTGTGTACTATGTTAGCCACCAGTTATTCAGTATAAGTTTGGTTAACATTTTATTAACTGTGAAATATAAATATTGAGACATAAAAAAAAATAAGATGGTAGAGAACAGAAACTGAGGGTGACTAATTATAAAAAGATATCATTCCTTCCCATTTAATATTCTGAACATTTCTAGAAACATAAAGTACATTGTTGTTTGTAATACATTTGTCATTCAATAGGTTCCTTATATTAATATAACAGAAGAATTCACCTTGAGAATAGTTGTTTTTAGCTTTTGCAGTATAAACACATTGAAGAGGTAAATAACTCTAGAACTTATAGTCAAAAATCCATGAATTTATCTTGCACATACTTTCTGTAAAGGTTGCTGTTTTTCTCAACTGTTGGCATTTCATGCATGAGATAGAGCATAATTGTAATGCATGAGGTACGCAAATGTTAGTAGTGTTTGTAGTGCTCACATTAAACGCAAGAAAAATAAATGCAACTATTAATTCATTCTATGCTAAATTTGATTTTTAGTTTTAGAAAATTGTGTTTTAACTTATTAAAAAAAAAAATTTGGTTCGTGTAATACTGCAGTACTACATGTACCATTGGAAAGAATTATAAACCAATGTTCATGTAATTTGTAGAAATAACAGCATGAAAGCTTCATTTTACGTACATAACAGCTTCTCTGTTTAATATGTTGTTTTGCCTTTGAGTTTTGTTTTAGTTGAAAATTGTTTATTTTAACCCTGTAGTGTAGTAAACCCAAGTACCCCTCCTTTGTTCTATTAACCAGTCTCCGGAGAAAGCTTTAAAACACTTTGAAGAGCTGCTAAAGCAGCACCCTCAAAGTCCTCGTGCAGAATATGGGAAAGCTCAAAGCTTGGACAGGATGGCTGAACAGCAACGCAGTAATTCCTTATTAGAACAAGCAGTTGCTGCCTACCAAGATGTCCTCAGTATGCCCAAAGTCCCGGACAAATTGTATTTACTTGCTGCTAACCGAGCAGTAGATAGAATGAGATTTAGAGGTGAGGTTATTATATGCTATAATCATTATAAAGAACTACATACTTTTTGATATTATTATGGTGTGTCAAATAGAGCAGTTTAAATAAAAAATTTGTAGCAGTTATTTCTCAATTAATAGTAGGAGAAGAAAGAATAGCTTTCTGTGAAACTGGTTGTTACAACAACAGATTTCTGTTTGATTGTTATGGGAACGATTCCTGTTAAACAAAAAATTGTTACAAGAGTAGTAACATGTGAAAAGGAATTTTTGTCAGAACAGTTGTCTGTGAATAAAATTTTTTCACAAGAATAGCTTTCTGTTAAATTGGTTATAAACCTCCCCCCCTTCAAGAAAAAAAAATTCAGAATAAATTTAGAAAGTTTTTTTTTTTTTTTCTTATTAGACTAATAAAGATATAAAAGAAATGAAGTTACACAGATGTCTCTGGGGAACCCTAAACACATAAGAAAAGTATAAAGCAGATTATTACAAAGTTGGTCATAAAGAACACTGTGCAATCAAAGAATGCAATGTTCATATGTATGGGAATTATAAATACTTTTCACTTATATGCTTTGTTTTTATATATATTTATGGCAATATTTGTGAAAAAAGTTAATAAGAGCCTCAAAAATATTCTAAGAATTTAAATCCTTCTGTATTAAAATATTTCAAATGTCTCCTAAGCTGAGTACCTTTTAATATTTGTTTTATCTGTTTAACTTTTCTTGTGTTAGATTTTGTTTTGATATTTTCTACAGGTCTGTTAGGAAAAGCTCTTAACTTACAGAAGCATTTAGCCGACAAATATCCAGAAAATGTTAATATCCATAATCAGTTGGCTGTGACATACTTGCTAGTGGGAAAAGGACAAGAAGCTAAGAAAGTGTTAAAAAAGGTTTGTTATAATTCTCTGATTGTTCCTAAAAATTAATACAAGAAGAAAATAAACTCGTGATAAATTTAGCTGGAAAGTCAAGCAATCTCAATCTCAGAAAGAAAAAGTGTACAGTTTACTTCAAACTATGTATCACATGTGAAGCTATAAAAAAAAACATCATAACTGTCTCTTTCAGTGATCTAGCTGGGTTGATGAAATATTGCCCTAAGTAATATGGACTTTCTTTACTTCCTTTGTGCTTACTATACATGTTTCTATATTACAATTTTCCCCCATTCAGAAGCCCAGAGAACTTGAATAGTAAATTGAGTTATAAAGGTGAATATTCTGAAAAGTATTAGTAAATGAGTTTAATGATGTGTATATATCTAAAACCTACACAAAACAGTGACTTGTTTCGTATTGCATTGGAGATACACAAAAAATATGGTGTTTTCAGTAGAAGATGACTATTTAATAATGTCTTTGTAGTTTTATACAGCACTTCACATGTAATTTTACTGCATTTATCTTAGATCTTCTGATACTCAATAGAAACAGTACCAGGATTTTTCTCATACTTGTGGTAGTATGGATAGAACGGTAGCACATTATAATTGATGAAAAAATATGGCATCTTCTGTCTTTTTGTGTAAAAGAAATCGAAAGATTCAGTCTATGGTGGTGACTGCCACCTTGATACTTGTAACATGTGGTAGGTGGTGTGTGTATATGTCCTTAAATCTGTTTTGAAATTATTAATAAATCTCTATAAGCAATAGTTGATCAGCAAGCTGTAGTGCTTTTAAATCAGTGATCCTAATGGGAGTATCCTACTCAGTATATCAGTGGATTTTAATAATATAGCTTTACTGTAAAGGTATTTGTTATCTTGTAGATCTTTAGAAGAGTATCTTACTCGATATGTCATTTAAATGTAATAATAATGTTTTACTGTGAAGGTGTTTGTTATATTTTGTAGATCTTAAGAAGAGTATCTTACTCAGTATGTCATTTAAATGTAATGGTAAAACAGTTCATTATACTTCAAAGATCATGATGGAAGTATCCCACTCAGTATATCAGTAAAATATAATAATAAAACTATTGTAAAACTGTTTATTATACTTCAAAGATCATGATGGAAGTATCCCACTCAGTATATCAGTTAAATATATGCTATGAAATGAAAGTCAGCTAAACTTTGTTATAATTCCAAACTTAGGCTTAACATCTTTTCTTCTCATACCACTCAGTTTTTTTGTCTTTTCAAAAAATTTTACATATAGATATTTCCAAGAAAAAGGTTATTTCAAATACTAAAAATATGTCATGAAATACTTCACAATGTAAATGACTGTAATAAAAGTTCTATGTCATTTATTGTTACAGGCAATTGTAGTAGTTCAACACAGTCATGTTACGAGTGTTTATATACAGCTTCTACTTTGGTGTGAGTTTACGCATTACTGGCAGCCACTGTAGAATATAATTTGGTAGTGTATGTTCATTTGATAACTTTAAAACACTGCTTTAGTACATGCACTGTAGAATATAATTTGGTAGTGTATGTTCATGTGATAACTTTAAAACACTGCTTTAGTACATGCACTGTAGAATATAGTTTGGGAATGTTTTTCACGTATGATAACTTTATAATACTGCTATGCTTTAGTACAGTATAGAATGTATTTCTTAAAAAAATTATAAAACATTGTAAGTTGTTCATCTTGCATTCATAAGATAAATTTAGCATTAATGTAACACCGTAGATCTTGTTACTTGGCCTGTAGCAAGGATATGTTCTCAACCAACAAGTGGGAAAATATCACACTATAAGTAGATTAATATTTTGATGAAAATTTCAGTTTTTGTGTTTTTCTCACAAAGCATTAGTTAACCAGAATTTATGCAGAAGAGTGCTGTTGATTGTTTACTGAATAAACTTGATTTGTGTTGCACAGTCGTCTTGTTCATTTGGAATAATAAATAAGCACACAATGTTAAAATGGGTGCGCAATTAAAAACATTTTAATTAAGGCCAATCTATGACCGCTAAAACATTGACTCTACACATTTCGATGTTGCAACGTCATCTTCAGGAGCAAGTTGCAAGACATAATCATGCCTTATTTATGCTTTTTTTTGTTGTTGTTAAAATAGGTCATGTTTACAGTTCCCTCATGAACATTTTAGAGAAGGTCACCCCACATTTTTTGTATAAATATTTGCTGGACCTTTATCTCTATTTAATAATTCATTTCATCCAAGAAATAGTACTAATGCTACTCTTGTTCATTTGATTTTGAAACTTTGTGAAATTGAGCTCTCTAAGGTTATTCAAAAAGTTCACCTACTTAATTAATATTGTGAGAGATTTATTTTCTTTCTTTCCATTACAGATTATTAAAAAGCACCCAGATATTGGATATGCTAAAGTCCATTACGGTTTCATCTTGAAGACTGAGGACAATAACTATGATGATGGAATTAAGTACCTGCGTGAAGGAATTGCAACACGAGAACCTGGTGTTATAGATGGAAGGTTTTTTTTTCACCTGGGTGATGCACTTGCTAGAACTGGAAAGAAGGATGAGGTTAGTTTTATTCTAAGACAGTCTGAATGTTGCACTGTTACCATTTTCCATTTTCTATAAGATTTCTTATAGATTTTCTGAAAAATGTTTCTAATTCCATTGATATATTTTGCTTAGATTTAAATTCAATTTTCAGTGCTAACTTTTATCATGTTATTTAGTACATCATTGACAAGCATAAATTTGAATCAAGATTTAGGTTTTTTCCAAGCACGTTCACTTTACCAAGCATCAAAGAAATAATTGTTTTCACACCAGTTTGTCACATCCAAAGTCACTCTACACGTAATCTCTTTAAAATAAAATCTGTAGTTCAACAACTAAGTTCCACTTACAAAATACCACAGAAATAAAGAAAAATTTCTTTGGTGCCATGAAAGAATGTTAAGCTTATCACTGAATTTGTCTGTGTTTTACTTCTTTGCAAGTCATGATATTAATTTCCAATTAATAGCTTTGTTGCTGTTGTGATATAATGAAATATAACATGGCATACTCAAATATTGTTACTTAAAGTTTACTTAAATAAAGTACTTACATAAATAATTTCTATAATGCAACTGAGTTTTTAACGTGTACTTTCTACTACACTGTTTAAAAGATATATGTACTTTCTACTACACTGTTTAAAAGATATATGTACTTTCTACTACACTGTTTAAAAGATATATGTACTTTCTACTACACTGTTTAAAACATACATGTAATTTCTACAAACTAAAAAAGTTGATTGATATTTTACATGAGACACCTCTGAGAGTGATTATGCCACTTAAAGACTGAACCTTACGAGCACAGTGCAAAAGTTGCTCAAGTTTAGCATGATGTTTATATATTATCATTATATTAAATGTTATGCACCAGTTATATTTATTATTTGTTATAATATTATTTAAAACAAGACTGTGCAATAAAGATAATGTAAATACGTATTCTAGTTCATTAATAACGCATGAAAAAAAAAATTCACATTTGTACCGAGTCATCATAAATACAAGTGTTCCGTGTCTCTAACATAATGCTACACATATGTAGGTAAAGTCAAAACATCAACATTTGATCATTTGCTTTTAACATAAAGCTATTTTCTAAAGTATTCCAAATGAATACAAATAAATTATATTGTTTAAAAGATACATGTACTTTCCAGAACTGCACTGTTTAAAAGATACATGCACTTTCTACTCCACTGTTTAAAAGATACACGTACTTTCTACTGCAGTGTTTAAAAGATACGTGCACTTTCTACTACACTGTTTAAAAAATACACGTACTTTCTACTACACTGTTTAAAAAATACACGTACTTTCTACTACACTGTTTAAAAAATACGCATACTTTCTACTACACTGTTTAAAAGATACGCATACTTTCTACTACACTGTTTAAAAGATACGCGTACTTTCTACTACACTGTTTAAAAGATACGCGTACTTTCTACTACACTGTTTAAAAGATACGCGTACTTTCTACTACACTGTTTAAAAGATACGCGTACTTTCTACTACACTGTTTAAAAGATCAGTTGTAAAATACAGTAAATATTTTTAGTATTAAAATAAATTATTAATTATATTAGCCACAATGCAGCATTTTAGGAAAAAAAGCATCATTAAAATTTAAATAATGTAATGAACTTGTAGATGTTATTGGTTTTGAAAATGAACTTGAATCAAAGCGTTTTGAATTTGTAAATTATCAAAAGTTTTTGTGGTAGCTTTAAGTTATATTTTTCCTATCCCCCCCCCCCCAGTTAAGTTTCAAGTTAGAAGTAATTAGTCAACATTTTTACATTTATTGGACTTATACTTACAACATTATAAGTACGTACAGCTATGTTTAGCCAAGATAGGTGCTTCAAAGTGTGTAACTCAATAAACAATGTATTACTTCTTACAAAAAGTATGATATTATTAGGAACTTTCAATTTCCTAAACCTAATTTATCCAGTAGGTGAGTACAATAATATGTTTTCCCATTTGCTGAATATGCATGCTTTAAACGGTGAATTTGATAAGATATATATATATTTTTCTTGTTTAATGAACATACTAATCTGAATGGAGAGGTTATAAATGTAATAATATCCTGATACACCAAACATACGATATAGAGTAGAGAGGATAAGGATATACCTCTCAATTTACTGAACGTACTATACCACATGGGGCAGTGTGGCCTGGTACTTAATGTTTTGGAATCGTGATTGAAAGGTTGCTAATTACAAGTTCTTCTGTACCTAGTTTTACCTAACCTTTTCTTCAGTCTACCCAGTAGTAAGATATGTACAAACTAATAGCTGGAGGTTAGTCTGAGATGGACAAGCATTTTATCCAGGAAGAATGTGAAAATGTTCCAATTGCTTGATCCACAGGAAACCGGAGCTAAGCACTGGTCTTTTGTGCCTTTTAAGTAATGGGAACATATTAACTTTAACTCAAGTACAACTAGTGGAGATGATAGAGATATAGCTTTTTGTTTGTTTTTACCTGTATTGAATATATTCTATGTACAGTGTAGATAGGACAGGGATGTAACTGTTGTGTTTTTAGATAAGGTTTTTATATTCAGCATCTTTCAGTTAACCGTGTTTTAACTTGGTAAATTTTTTGTTGAACTAAACGTACTCCTGTATAATATCTTTTGCATCTCCTTAGGCTATGGAGGTATATGAGCAGGGTGTAAAAGAGGGAGTCTTCCTTTCTGCATATCAGAGATCTCTTTACAATGTGAAAGGGTTGAAAGGCCAACCCTGGTGGATGCCAGAAGAAACAACATATTACAACTACATTCTGGTTAGTGGTGAATTTTCTGCACTAAATTTTATAAATTTTGTTACTTTGTAAATTCATATATTAAAATGAAAACAAATACATCTGTGTGTGTGTGTGTGTGTGTGTGTAAATGATTGACGACAACTCATTTCTAGTACATTTCAATTGTAAAGGGAACAGAAGTGGAAGAAAAAAGACTTATCTCATGGTAATTGTGAAACAGATATTTAAAGTATGTACACTGAATGAGTATTCTACTTGAAAGTAGGTGTAGCAAGGATAAATTATATAAAAATTCATTTGCTAACAGTTACAAGAATATTATTTTAGTTGTATGTGAAATACATTAATCTTTATCACATCTTCTCGTACTCTCATGAGCTACTCAGTTTCTTAAAGCATTTGACTAATTTAAATAAAGTGAACAATGCATTGCAAAAAAAGTACCATGTTGGATAGAATTTTGGATAAGTTACTGGGATTATTTATACTTGGATTGTGAAAGTTACATTAATTTGTTCCTTCTTAAACTGTATTATCTCTCTTTTTTTGTTGAAATGGGTGTATTTAATACAGTTGTTCTGTATATTGTGTGGCTGCCTAATCTGTGTCAATGTACTTTACTGGTTTTCTATAAACACTAATGTTTTTTATGATCTAATTGATAAAAATCTGAAAGTCCAACAAGAAAATTAACGTACATCTAAACATACCATTTTCCCTTTTTAATGCAACATTGTGCAGTAGCATCCTTCTTTCTCTTTAAAAAAATTGATATTTATTTTAACAATCATATTTCATTAAGCTGTTAGAGAAAAACTGGAAGATCATTAAAAATGAAGCTCTTGCCATCCTAAATGAACAGCAGTCTGGTTTTCGACCAGAGAGTGAAGGGTTGCGGGACACGGGTGACTGGAAACAGTTTGAAATGTTTGCTAGAGGTGTGTGTATATCATTTGTTTGCTTATTTTAGTTTAATTATAGAATATGCAAGGAGTGTTTGCTAGGTTCTTTATAATATAAACATGTTATTTTACAAAAAATTAACACAAGATTTTGTATGTCGGTATACTTTTATGGAATACAACTCCCATACCTTAAAAAAATGGCATATGAAGTAATATTAAAACTCCAATACCTTACAAAAATTGCATATGAAGTGATATTAAAACTCGAATACCTTAAAAAAATCACATAAGAAGTAATATTAAAACTCCAATACCTTAAACAAAAGGCATATGAAGTGATATTAAAACTCCAATACCTTACAAAAATCACATAAGAAGTGATATTAAAACTCCAGTACCTTAAAAAAATCACATAAGAAGTAATATTAAAACTCCAATATCTTAAACAAAAGGCATATGAAGTGACATTAAATCTAATACCTTGAAAAAAGCATATGAAGTGATATTAAAACTCCAATACATTACAAAAATCACATAAGAAGTGATATTAAAACTCCAATACCTTACAAAAATCACATAAGAAGTGATATTAAAACTCCAATACCTTAAACAAAAGGCATATGAAGTGATGATAAAAATAGTTGCACAGTACCAGTAGGCTTTACCCGGGAAGTAGAGCTGGGCGATTTACTCAAGTAATCGTTATAATCTCTTATCTATGAGCGTATTGTTACATCAGTACATTCAGTAATTATTTTTTATGTGCATTTTTATAATAATGGCCAAATACTATATAAAAGAAAAAAAAATCTTGTCAAAAGTAAAGAGTCTGTCTGAGAGTAATTATCATAAGAAATATACTGATGTCATATTGTAAGTATTAGTTTAGTAAAACACAGTTCTTGTGGTAGAACTTGTATTTGTTATATTATTATGCCTAACATTTTCTTTATGTATCTGTATATTATGTATTAACTACATTTTTTATGATCAAATGAGTTAGATTTATATAACGAAATGGTAAAAGTAAGAAATTATCGTGTATTGTATAATAACTTTTAAAACTATATATGTTTAAATCTATAATGTAAATATATTGTTTACTTACAAACTGTTTTCATAGATATATTTCTTTTTGTGATTTTAAAGTTAGCTCCCTCCTTAATCATATACAAGAAGAATGTATGTCAGAAATGCTTATATAGTTTTGCATAAACAATCAGTACTCTGTTACGTGTAACATGTTCTACAACCCCTTTTTGATCAAGAAACTGCTTTTCTGGCTGCTACGAATGTATGTTATTTTATTTATATTTGAAAAAACATAATACTTTACTTTGTGACAAAGTAAAGTAATAAAAAGTAGCCAAATTTATTTGGAGTTGTGACATTTTAAATAAAAGTAAGAAAAGCAATGTGTGATTACCAACAAAATTGAGGTATTTATTGTCTAATAATTTCAAAGTAGCATCATTGTGACTGTGAAAAAAATGTTTCTAAAAATTACAAAATAACTTGTGTTTTTAGGAAAAGTCATTTCTGAAGAACGATAGTTATTTCATAATACTTCTGTAAGTGTATTTGAAAAATATGACAATTTATTTTAGTAGAGGAACTTTGATTCAGAGTTAAACATTTCTACAGTCTTGGTTTCTTCATGACGTTTTCAGTGTTGCTATTTTTAAAATATTATTGTTTGCTGTTACTCAATGAAGTTATCTAAGTATTAGATTAAGAGTTCATTATTCAGATCATATCAATTTTTTTTAGTTTGAAAAGCTGATTTTATATCAGTGTTTTACTGAGATGTTCAGAGAATTTATGGATAGTCATTCATGTTACAGTTTTTAGTTTTTATTCCACTTTTAAAGAGTTATATGTGTGAACTTTAAACTAACAAAAATATGACATTTAAACTTAATTGCTCATGTGTTTTGCCACATAGTTACCAAATATCAACTTAATGTTTCTGTATGGAGGAAGTAGTAGTTTGTAGTCTTTTTAACATATTTTGAAAATTGGTATGAACATGTTTATCTGTTTGAATTAGTGAGTATTCTTCACACTAGGCCAGGTGGTTAGGGCACTCGACTCGCAATCTGTGGGTCGCGAGTTCGAATCCCCGTCCCACCAAACATGTTTGCCCTTTAAGCCATGGGGGCATTATAATGTGACGTTCAATCCCACTATTCGCTGGTAAAAGAGTAGCTCAAGAGTTGGCGGTGGGTAGTGTTGATTAGCTGCCTTCCCTCTTGTCTTACACTGCAAAATTAGGGACGGATAGGGCAGATAGCTCTGCGCGAAATTCAAAAACAAACAAACAATTCTTCACACTAACAGTTTTGATAAGTTTTGTTATGAGAAAATATTTGATGTCTTAAATGCATAAAAAAAAATATTTTTTTTAAATTTGTTTTTAAGGTCAGAAATTTGCCAAAAACTGTGACAGAGTGCCTCGGACTTGTGCTTTGATTGAGAATATACCCGATGCTGTTGGATGTAAACGAGGACAGGTATTAGTTATATCTTATATTCACTCTTGTATGAATTAATATCCATACTAAAATTAATTTAGTTTTAAGCAAAATGAAATTAAACATTTTCTTTACATTTTTTGGAAGATTAAAAATATTATACACAATTTTACATGATGTATAAGGAACCGATTAATTTATATGGACTTGTAGTTCTTACACAACTTGTTTATTGATGTGTATTTGGTTTGGCTTTACTATTTGTGGAGAAAAATTTGAGACACGAATTACGGAAATGATTAATGATCTGTCTTTATAGAAGTTATACTGTAAATTCTTTTTTGAGGATTTTGGGTTCAAAACATGATGCTACCATACATGATTGGAACTTTTAAGTTTGGTTATATCGTAAAAGCTTTACAGGCAATCATGCTATTCAGTTAAAAGTAGCAACTTTAGGTAGCAAGTGCTACCAACTGTTAGCCTTTTCTCTGATCTGTAGTTCAAAATTAGAAATGGCTGTGTCTGAGCCATAAAGGTCTCTTACCTGGCCATTTAGCTCATAATCTGCATAAGGCATCATTAAAGTTAACAAACATCATTATTGGAATAAGATATTTGCTGGTACATTCATAAACTGAGAGTAACTGTAAACTGTACTATGTATTTTATTAAATTGATTTGATAATGCTTTGTACAAAAATCATCTGGGGAATTTTTAATAAAGACTTTTGCAATTTTCTTTTTGTATTCAAACTGTTGTAAGCCGAATTAGAGCCTGACACTCTTAGTGGTAATTGTTCAAATGATTTAACTTGTTTAATTAGTTTGTTTTTTCTAATATGTCAGGTGAAATTCTCTGTCATGCAACCTGGCACTCACGTCTGGGCTCACACAGGTCCTACTAATTGCAGACTTCGAGCTCATCTTGGCCTTGTCATTCCAAAGGGTGTAAGAATTCGGGTGGCAAACGAAACAAGGTAAGCAAAGCCATGTAGTGTTATTTTCTTTTTCTTTTTAAACTTTTTTTGTAAATATTGTTAATATTAAAGAAATTAATGCAAGTAAAAGCTTTCTTTTTCATAGTCTTGCAGAAAATTGGGTATGCTTTAGTAACTTCTCAGACGTAAAGTAAAATTACAGCAACAAAAATTGTAGAATTCAATGTAATAGATAGCAAAGATGTTGAAAGGATTTTTCATTATTAGTAACCTGTATGATCATTTAAGTCTTCTTATTAATTAGTTATTGATAATTGTTTATTATTATTACTAGATACTAATTATTTTACATCCTAAGTTTTGTTTGATAATCTGTCATCTCTAGAGAAGTTCTGAAAAGAACAATTTATGTTGGTAGATGCTGGGATTCGATCTTGGGTCTTCTTCTTTTTAGAAAAGTATTTTGTGCCAATAATGATAAAAGAACATAATATCGTGTATGGCAATTAATTTTTGTTTTTAGTTAGTTGTTGATAATTGTTTATTATTATTAATAGCTACTAATTATTATAGCAATTAGTGAAAAACCACAGTAAACTGAACAAAAATAAGAATTGTCGAAGGTTGCTTAATCAAAAGCCTGCCTAATTTTAACACCTCCCAAGGTCACTTTAAACTTAACAACTTCTGACCTCCTGTGTCCCTAAGGGAATTCCTAGATCAGGGGTCATGTATGCATTTGTTGACCAGTTTTTTTCCTACCAGAAAACAACGCAAGACTGAAGAGGATGCACGAATGTGTCGAAATTAGTTTCTCTAATACCAGACTTCTGACAGTTTGTTCCGTTTACTGTGGTTTTTCACTATTTTGTGCTATCTGCTTAAGGAAGAGAACAAGCACTGAGTCAAAGTTTATGATGGAAAAACATTCACTAGTTACATTTAGTTATCGGTTACAACAAACATCAGTTTTATTCAGAACATGAATGTCGTATTTTGTTAATAACATATTCTTTTGTTCAAAAATATTTATATCATTCATACTGTAGTTTTTCACTATTTTGTGCTATCTGCTTATCTGGCATTAAGATTGGAATGGTTTCATGAGAGGTGTTCTGTACTAGGTTGACTCGGTATGTTTTCAGTTAGCTAGATGTAGAAGGATCATTTTATTTTTATTTTTGCCAAGTATAGTTGACATCCCATTATTTTAGTATATTTTATTGTATGATCTTCTAACCAATCACAATTAATTAACACATATATAGATCAATATGAGTCTTATATGTCTATTATACTCCCAAATTCTGATTTTTGATGATTTTCTTTCTGTCTTCACTGTGATCATATAGGTTACTAATCATGGTAATTATTGATATTTGTTATTATTGGAAGAATTTTCTTTAGTGTTTGCTCCCCCATTGGAACGGCAGTATGTCTGCAGACTTTCAACCCTAGAAATGGTTTTGATACCCGTGGTGGGCAGAACACAGATAGCCCATTGTGTAGCTTTTTGCCAAACTTCAAACAAACAAACTGTAATAAGCTTTACCCATCTTATCCAACTTCTCTGTACAGAGCTGTATTCATCCAAATAATATTGAGTAAATGTTTCCATGGCATTATGTTTTTTCTCATTGGCAGTGCACTGTAAATAATTTTAAGATACTCACCAATTTAACATTTTCTCTGATTGAAAGATTCAGGTTAAAATGGAAATTAAATGAACAACACATATATATATTTGTTTTACTGTAGTGAAGTATTAACCCATTAGAAATATAGTATTTGTTTAAAATACCTAGAAGTTGGTAAGTTACGCATGTCTGCAAACTTCAGGAACTTTGCTTAAGGAAGAGAACAAGCACTGAGTCAAAGTTTATGATGGAAAAACATTCACTAGTTACATTTAGTTATCGGTTACAACAAACGTCGGTTTTATTCAGAACATGAATATCGTATTTTGGTAGTAACATATTCTTTTGTTGAAAAATATTTATACCATTAAACATGACATTGGAAAATCATGCATTGTAAATTTCCTTTTAAAAACATGATAAATAGAGGATCTTAAATGGAAATTATGAAAATATTACCGTATTGTTCGATGTATAAGACGCACTTTTTTACCCCAAAATTTGATGTCAAAATCTGCTTGTGTCCTATACACCGAAGATATGAATAATATATATATGTATATATACGATATACACAAGCCATGTGTAAATATATATAAATAGGCATGCATAGTTTAGTTCAATTGAATGTGTTATTTACAACAATAGTAGTTTTTTTCTTTTAAAAACATAACTATTTATAATGCTCCCTAAGTAATAAAACAATACATTACAGTGAAAGTAATGAAGATTTTGTAGGTTTTCAACCAAACTAAATAACAGTAAACCTTTTTTGACTTACGGTATTTCTTATTTGACGTTTTGAGTCTCTTTTGTGTTTAGAACAATTTATACTAATTTTTAAAGTATCAAATTGAATTTTTGTTCAATAAAAAAATC